CACTGGGTGGGTTTGAGCCAAAGCACACTGTCTCTTTCGTTTTTTTTATTACTATTATTATTATTATTATTGTTATTGTTCTTACTATTCTTTAAACGAGATACTTTGTAATTTCGCGAGGGGAAAAAAAAAAAAAAAAAAAAGATCAAAGCAAATGTGGTGTCACCCGTCAGGACGTCACTTTTTTGGAGCTAAATGTTAGTGTGCATTGATTGAAGTTTAGAGGACCGTGTTTGTACCGTAGTTGCTGTTTGTACCACGCAGGTGTGCACGTATGGTTCGAAAAGATATTTTCATTTTACATGAAAGATGACTTTGCTAATAAAAGTTTGACTTGATGTAATCTTCAAAAGCCTTCGTTGTAATCAGCAAGTTTCTCTTTTATTGTGGTTTGAGTTTTGTTGGGTTTTTCTTGTTTGTTGGTGGTTTGGTTTGTTTTTTTTTTTCACCTGAGAGAATTTTTTTTTGCTGGAAATCTGCTTTATTTGTCACCCACAGCCCTCTCTTGTGGTGGTGGTGGGTTTTTTTTTTTTGGCTTCACACCAAGGCTGAGCTGCCTTTGGCTTTCACTGGGACTGTTGGACATCACAGACCAAGGTAGGATGGACCTGACCTGCAAACACCCCGAATTCAAATGCCTCATTAATTCCATGGTCTGATCATCTCCTGGATCAAACTATCACCCCACACACTGTCAGCATCTCCTGTGTGCTTTATCTGCTCTGTTAACAGCACACAATCTTCCAGCACACAGAGATCTAAGCCAAGTGACGTGTGAAATACCCACAAAAATAACATTATCCAGATTAAAATCCTCTTAGCCATGAAAGAGAGGACAAAAGTCAACATACCAGGTGTGAGCAGAGGTGAGGGGACCTGATCCATTTACATGAGGTAGAACACACCTATAAACATCAGCAGGGTGAATTTCTGCTCCTCTTCATTAAAGATCACCAGAATATGGGCAGTTTCATAAATATGAATAATATTAATTATTTTATAATGGTAAATAAATGATATAAATACCCAGGCACCAGAGAACCCAGTAATATTAATTCTTTTTCTTCTTATGCCTCAATTAGGGGAAACTACAATGGTGCTCAAAGTCTGA